TTCTGTCCATGTGAAAAACGCACCCAAGATCAAATCTTAAAAGCCACCCCACATGAGCCGAAACAAATACTAATGTTTCCGCCGTCCTTCTTGTTATCCGTAAAGGGTTCGCCCCCCGCCGCCGGCCCCCTCTCTCTGAGAATGCGCTATGCAGGAGCTATGTCATGAGGCCTGGGCGCTGTCGTGAAGGAACTTCATGCGATGCCGACTCGTAATGAGCAAAACCAATCGATGACCAGAGGGGTTACCACACCTGGCGAATGGTAAGACGTCGTGACCCTGCCAATCTGCGTGAGAGGTGCCGCCGAATTTCAGAAATGTGGAAAATCCCATGTGTTTGTGCACCCTGACCCCGCCGATCTGCGTGAGGGGTGCAGCCGAATTTCAAAAATGTAGCAAATCCCATGTGTTTGTGCACCCTGACCCCGCCGATCTGCGTGAGGGGTGCCACCGAATTTCAGAAATGTGGCACATCCCTTGTGTTTTTGGACCCTGACCCCGCCGATCTGCGGGAGGAGTGCCACCGAATGTCAGAAATGTGGCAAGTCCCATGTGTTTGTGCACCCTGACCCCGCCGATCTGCGTGAGGGGTGCCACCGAATTTCAGAAATGTGGCAAATCCCTTATGTTTTTGGACCCTGACCCCGCCCATCTGCGTGAGGGGTGTCAATGTTACCCCCCCAAAACTTCTCAGAACCCTCCCAGGGCGTCGTAAAAATACCAGTTTTGGGCCTCCCCCCTCGCGCGGTCCATCAACAAGGAACAGTAAGCAGCAATAAGTCAACAAGGAAGAGTAAGCAGCAAGAAGCAGAACTGTAACAATGGAAACTGAAACCTGCATCCGGTACAGGAAACTGCGAAGCTTAGGCCTACAGCCTGGTGGCCCCACAAGGGGGCCGGCGGATTTGAGCCCCAAACAACTGGCGGAACAAACACAATCCAGTCGTCTGGGGATCTAGCTGACGCTGGACATAACAGTGATGCTGACGATCTACGCGTCTGGGGTAGGATCGGTGAAGCTAGGCCTGATGTGACTATGCTGTATCAAATTGGGCCACCGACTTGTGCGGCGTTGCATTCGAGCCACCAACGCGACCGTGCGTGCTTCGCAGCAATTACGACGAAAGCAAGATGAGGACGAATTGAGATTATAATCAGTCGGATGTTCGGAAAGTCGCGGGTCTGGAGGACGTATCGGGGGCCTCGACTAGTTCTGGGACGCGATGCATCCTCATCCTAGACTTGCTGATTGTATCCTACAAGTTGCCTCGACATATTAGCCATGTCGCTTCATATTTCGAACGCAAGCTGGCGCGGAGAATATGTGCGACGACCCGCTGGTTGAGCGGCCCAGCTGCCCGCTGACACACCAAGGTGGGCAAAGGGTGCGTCAAATGCTTCATTCGCTTCTGAGCATCCTGGAAAGCCGCAGCCAAGCGACAGGGATGCACTGGAAGTCAGTATCACCGCCACCCCCCTGAACGCCAAGGCAGCCCATGCGGCCACAAGCATCCTGGACCTGGGCGACGACCTGGACAAGCGCATGGCTCAGCAGGCAGCCGAAATCACAGACGACCGAGTCGGCGTCTTCGCAGATCCCAGCGATTACAAGGGTACCGTGACGCTGCTCGGCCAGGCAAATGAGAAGCAACGATCCGCCGCCCTCACCGAACATGAGCTGAGAGCCAAGGCCGCGCTGGAGGCAGCGTGGAAGGCGAGATACTGGGCGCCCCTACCGCTGCGGGGTGGCGTTCCGAGCTCACCCGAGCTCAGACTCAGGGCCATCTCTACCCCTACCAACCCTGGCGACCGCCCTGGACCACCCGCCCATCGTGCCCCGTCGGAGCCACCCGTCCACCGACCCCCATCACAGCCTCAGCCTGCACCGCAGCCGGGTGACGCGCGGCAGCCTGCGTCGCAGCCAGCAAAGCAGCTGGCCCCTCTGGGCGTTCCCGCCCCTCCCACCAGGCGAGAACTCCAGGGCAGGGCGCCCACGCCCACACCCCTCTGCCCGCCGCCCCGCCCATGTCCCACAGGAACTCGGGATGGGGCCGCTGGCGAAGCCAGTTGGCGACGCGAGGAGCAACTACGGCCCAGCCATCAACCTGCAGTTGGTCAGCTTCTGCAGCAGGCACCTGGAGGGCCGCGACATGGCTCCTGCGTCACTCTCCGAGCCATTCCTGCGGCGTGTCCTGATCTCTCTCCGGGAAGACGGGGTGGTGCTGGACGCTTGCCACCTGAATCGAGGCGTGTGTACCTGACAAGGGACCTGCCAGTAAGTCGTTGTGGCGCACCGAGCGTTCTGGGGGCTCTAGGGCCAGAGGGCAGCGCGACGCCTGGGAACAGTACCAGCCTGACCGACCTGCTGGGGCCGCATAGATTCCCATGTGGATGAGCGCGGAGCTCCTCAGGGAAATTGTTCTGAGACTCGGGGCGGGCTCCCTCCAGCGATGCCAAATACCTGCAGGCCGACATAACCTGGGCGGCCCGCGGGCCCCCGCCCCTCGACAACGAAAGCTCGTTGACCTGAACACAGCGCCACCAGTCCCAGCTGCAGCAATAAACCAGGCCGGGACTCCCCGCCGCCGCCCGTATGCCCACCGCTGGCAAGCCGTTTCTTGGATCCCCTGGCCCTGGCTAGCCAGATTGACCCAGCCAGCATGCCCGGCCACCATGATAAGACACTCGCGCACGCAATGGTGAACTACGACAGTCGGCGGCATCCAGACATCGAGGAGTCGCGGCACGGGTTCGCGCAGAAGCGAAGCGACGAGATTGCACCAAGGACGGAAGAAAAAAATCGACACCCAGTGTTGGGACCGCAGATAGGCCGCACTGGCCCGCGCGGTTGCCTGGCCCACGCGCGACAAGACCGGAAGAAAAACGAGAGCGGTAGAGCCGACCACCTGAGGGAGGCGCGAGAGACCAGCAACCCTACGCGGGGCCGACCCGTCCAGGTACGACGCAAACGACCTGGCAGCCTAGCCAGGGCATCAAGAGTTTGAACTCCCCTCTGCTCGCCTGCTACCGCCGCCCGACCCCAGTCGGAGAAGCGGTAGACGCTCCCGGGGCGACGGCCGCAGACGAGCCTCAAGGACCAGCGACCACACACAGACGCTACTCGGGACCCCGACCCCGCACCGACACGGGACGCAGCTGCCAAAGCCGCAGCAAACCAGGCGCAGCGGGTCAGATCCGTTCACCTGGAAGGACCCTGGTGGTCGGGACGCAGGTGGCGCGGCTCGAGGACGAACCTAAGGCGTGACCGACCCCTTTCCAGTCGAGCAGACACGCGCCGACCCTAGGAACCCCACCCCCGACTGGGGCGGCGACGAAGGCGGCGGCGTAGGCGACGAGAAGGAGGCGCAAGCAGCAACCTGGACCAGCCGGGTGGGGGGCCAAGACAGGTGACGAGCACCGCCGCGGACTCGTCCCCGCCATCAACAAGCCCACCGTGTCACAGCAACACAGTCGCAGTGGTCTCGCGCCAGGGGGAAAGGTGGGCCACTACATAATGGCCAGGGGCGACAACGGCGCTCGCCCCGCGCGCTGGCGCGCGCAGGCCGAGGAGACGGGAGAGCGACTCAGGCCTCACGTACAGCCCGGCTCGGTGTTTGGGCCAGCGGAGGAGGTCCGAACAGGACAGTTTCTTTGCGCCAGGATAGGGGTCGAATGCGTCACGGTCTGGGGTGGAGCAGACTCCACGCACTTTGCCTGGATCACTCACGACGGCCGCCCTGCCAGCACCGGCGGCGGCGGATGCGCCCCCAGAGCGGGGTTGCACAAGTTGGCCAGACCGGACGTAGAAACGACACGGGCCAGGCGCCCCGCGACACCTTTACCTGGCGTTCCGTTCGCTACCAGGATGTTGACTGGTCCAACTGTAGTAGAGGCAGCACGGACGGCTCCCGCGACATCGCCTGGAGGCACTCGTCCTGCTGGCGCAGCGGCCTAGCTGAGAGTAGTCACGGCTGGGGGGGCGATCACTCCGACCGCCGCCGCGACTAGAATGACCCGCGCGACATCTTGCACCGGGTGCCTCAACACGAAGTCCGCTGGCTGCCGCAATGGGGCCGCAGAGAAAATCGGGGCGATCTTCGTGGAAAGCTGGAAAAGAGTCTGCGACGTGCGAAACGGCAAAACACGTGGCTAGGGTCGTTATCAACCTGGCGGTTTCGACGACTTCTGCAGGCAGTGTCTGTCCGATAAATTCGCGTGCTACCACGATATACGGACGCACTGTCGGCAGCGGCGCATCAACTTCGAGTGGGACGCAGCGCGGCGCCAGCAGCAAGAGCGGCAGGCGCAGGCAGCTGGAGGGAAATGCCAAGGAAACAAACGCGCCGGCGGCGCCTCGTGGTCAGCCGGGGACCAGTCCCGCACGCGGGGATCTAGGGCACTGACGCCCCCGCCCGTGCGAGACAGGATGGTTGCAGGCCTGGACGCCGCACGCCGCATACTTGCTGGACCTGGCCCTCCGCGGGCGCCGATTGGCCGACGAACCGCACCTGGCAGCGCCCTTTGGCGCTCGTCACGACTCCCAGAAGGTCAACTTCCCCACGTGGGCCCCGTGACCTCGCACTCGCGCGCGCACCCATCAGGCGCCCCCCCCACGCGCCCCCCCCAGGTGGGGCGCCCCCCGCTCTCTCCTTTGAATGCGTCCACTTTCCTAGGTGGACTCTCCCGCTGCCCAGCGCGTCTCGACTGAAGCGCCACTCCCCCAAGTGGGCGCTCCACAGAAGTGGCGCGGGGAAATTATTACCCCGACCCTTGTCCAGGATTTTTCGCCGCCCACCGCGGACGTGGGTGATTTGTTACTGCCGCGGCAATGCGGTTCTGTCGACATTGCGGCCGTCGCCTGGCAGTGCGAGACCAGTGCGCCCCATAGGCAGAGGTTTGAAGAAATCGTTGTAATCAATTGGTCGGTAACGAACGCCTCAAGACTCGCCAGCCTGGATCCCTGACCTATGCCGTGCACCCACATACTCCGAGAGCACTGG